CCATTTTGTTGAGAAGGATGGTGTTCTCTTTGTATAATTGATCGGATGTAGTGTGAAGTACTCAGAAATGGTATAAACATGCAGAATAAAAGACAGGAGGTTTTAGATTGAATAGCACTCACGGAGCAGGATCTCGCGACTTCTTCGGAATATGTCTGCCATGTCCGCATGCTTGTAAAAACGAAGATATTGATATTGAAGCGAAGTGCAGCGGCAAGAAGGTCAACATCATCTCCCCATCGCCTTCTATCCATAGCATGCGACGCAAGACTGCGCTTACATTGCAGCATATCGTCAATGCCACTGTATGTTGCTAAGCTCATGAATACACCTGAAAAGTACGTTTGCGGCTTCAAAGGAGCAACTAGAATCTGTGAATGTTTATCTTCCTTAGTGAGTGCGTTAGGATGTTTGTATTTGTTGAATGTTTCCTTGATATAACTGGGCTGTGAATTTGGAAACCTAGAAACAAACCAATCCATCTTTCATCCTTCATCCTCGTTATGAATGCCGTCAAAGCCGATCGGATTCGTTCATGGTGTTCTTCACTGCCCATAATGCAGTATGCAATCGATCTGAAAGCTTCAAATGAAACGAGTACCTTTGCTGCTCATGTCTGATTTATAGAAAGCGCTTGTACTGTGCGATTCTCTCTTGTAACATTCGCTTGTATTGATCTCTGTTCCGACACTTTTTCCATTTCAATCGCTTGCAAAGGCATTATTTCTCCTCATGAAGGTTCTTTTTAAGTTACAATATCGAATACTAAATGATGAATTTTACTGAAGCCTTCTGTGCTTGAAGAGAATTCAATTCTCTTTTCAATGGATTACTTGGCATTGACCGATCAAATCTCTGTTCCGACACTTTTTCCACTTCAATTGATCACATCACTTTTATTTGATTGAAACTTCCGTCGTTAAACTTTTACTACTCCATAAATGAGCCAATTCTTGTAGCCAGTCTTTGTCTGAACGTGGAAAATTTATTTCTCTTCCCAATGACACCTCATGTACACATTCAGGTCAGGTGTAGCCTTGAAATACGTCAAATTCCTGTGCCTCATCGATGAATTAATTCGCCCTATTGGATCTCTTTTTCTCTGTGCTCTACCTGACCGCGTCGCTTCAAAAGTGCAATTTGGCTTCTTTTACCAACCCCCCGCCAGGTACTATCCGGTTATTTGGCTCCCCCCCCCCTCCTGGTTCGTTTCGATTCGATTGTAGCAAGGCGAGCGAATGGATGTTCATCGTTTTCGGTGCGTATTACGAAACGCGCACGATGCTATCGGAGATGAAGAAGATTCACTCGAGAGAAGGAAGGGTTCGCTTGGGAGGGAGGAGGGTCTCCAGACGAGGTAGGGGTGTTTTCCTCAGGAGGGAGGGTTCCCGGAGAGGGGGGAGGATTTAACTCAGAAAAAGAAGGAATCCTAGAAAAGAAGGAGACTTTTCGGCACTTATGCTGTTTAGTCCCTCCACCCGCACGCAGACAAACGTGCATTACCATTTCTGCTTTCAACAACACCGCCGCAAGTTGTCATGCGCGCTTTACGCCACGCCCATTCTGTTACACTGGCTTCGACCATGCCCTAGCACCCAGTGGGCGTGGCTAGGCGCACGCGCGCGTGATCTTGACTTTCCTTGATTGAAAGATGGTGCCAGGGGAATGGGGATAGGATCGCTCGGCTAGGAATGGATAGGCCATTCACCTTAAACTAAAAGTAAGCGCACTACTCTCGACCCCGTTAAGGTTAGAGCGCTTGCCTTCAGTCGCTAGCCCCCTCAACCGAAAATGAACACCTTGTCCGGGATGTCCACCCTCGGATGATTTATATACGATTCCTAAAGGTAATATTCGCGTCGTGATTAATGATCCATTTGATCAGCAGCCCAGTACTACTTCATCAAAATCTTAAACATTCGTTCGATCAACCAATCAAATTAATATCCCTCATCAATTAAATCTGATCTAATGTTTTGTAATATGCGCATAAAATGAATGTGTCGAACCGAAACGAACTATAGGGGATCAAATAGCCGGATACTACGTGACAGGGAACTAATCATCCATCGCCGTTACATTGTGAAGTCAAGATGGTTATTTACGTTGATTAACTGTAGTGGCGAACAATGAAATAATGATTTTTCTTGGCTACATTTGGCTTCTTGAGCAAGACTTTTGGCTCATTCTTTTTTCTTGGTGAAGTTGTTAGTGATTAGGCGTGCCGTTTCTTTATTGCATTTATGGACGCATGTGCCTTGTTTCGCCGTTATGGCTAATATAGAACTAGGTGATTAATGTGCTGGGTGATATCTCTTCGCTCGATATAAGAGGGATCGGTGCTGATTTATAGATAACGTCACATCCCAACCAAGTGAACGAAGTGATCATTTTGCATCAATAGAACCCGGATGAAGTGCGCTGAAACTAGCAAAAGAAGAGTTCTTTTTACCCCTCTCGCTCTCCTATCTTTTAAATAACATCCTCAGTGACGCGGCTATTCCAAATCAATTCGAAGAATCGAAAACAATTGTGTTATGCAAAAAAGGTGATCTAAAACAAATGAAAAATTGTCAACCTTTTCGCTGCCGTCTGTTGTGTATAAATTCTTCACCAAGGTAATGAGCAAACGATTGCAATCTCAACTCGTTGAATGTAAAACGACGAACAAACCCTTGAGGTCACAATTCATCAAACCCACAAAATAATACAACTCATCAAAAAGGCTCTATTTGTCGACTTTGAAGAAGCATTTGAATGAGTAGAATGAAATGCTGTTGAGGGGGTCTTCATAAACCAATGGCAGTTCCTTCATCCAACAGAAAGGAAAGGGTGGTTTTGTGGAACAATATACTATACTGGTGGAAAGTACAAAAATATGTGACGAAGTCAGGTATCGAACCAGCACCCTCAGCAGCTGATAACTAAAGTTTAACCGCCTTGCTAGAAATGCCACAATCAAGGCCGATCAATTTTTAAACCCATGTTTTGGCGTGAATTTTGAATAATTACCACTAACATTCTAGAGTTACGACAAATAACTAGAGCATTGGCCCCAATAGTATTCTAGAAAGTATGAAAATCGGTAACGAACGACAAAGTCGTGACCTGTCGTAATTGCTTCTTCTGTGGGAGATAACTCAATCGACATGATATTTAAAAACGCACAGTGTATATTACGAACGAGTATAATATGAGTTTTTAGAATTGATGAAGGGAGATCCGTTCATTCGAGTCTTCAAAATTTTGATTTTACTGTGCTAATTTCTAATGATTGATAGGGAACAACATGTCACGTCGATCTGGTGGAGGAGTGGTTTCATCGGCGTCATCCCGTAAAGACGTTTCTCAGTGTTCACCGCGTCGATCGGGTCGTGAACGGCAAGCCCTGTACACGAGTCTTGATGAGAACTTCTTACTCGAGACTGCAATCAGCAGTTCTTTGTTTCGTGCCCTTATCAACGACGCCGATAAATCCTGTGATTCGGTTGATGCATTTTCTTATTCTTTTGAAAGATCTTGATTTCCGATCTTTTTTAATGACATCTACTTATTATGATGCTTTTAGGAATCCAACTCTTTCGGTGTTCATAATCGACATTCTACGAGAAGGTCAAGAGATGTTGTTGTCACAAATGCACGACGAAATGTTGCCGTTGAAGATGATTTCGAAAACAGTCGATCTTCTCGTCGAAGAAATAACAGTCGTCATTTAAGAAAAAGGTACGTCAGTCCAGATCATTGGACTTATGCAAGGACATAAATTGCAGATCGCCGGATGTGAATCTTTGTGATGGTATTGTTGGTGATCGATTGGAGTCACCTCTGGATGAAGATAACAAATCTGTTCATGTTCCAAATATGTACGAATCAGTTAAACGAAGAAGGCAAGCGCTGAGACAAGCTGCTATTGAACATTCGATCAATCGGTTGGTTGGTTGAGTATTTTGTTATTATTGTTTATCGTTCCATTCTGGTAACTAAGTTATTTAGGGATGTTGGATGTAAGAAGGAAGCAGTCGGCGTAGACACTGCAACAGACAGTCAACGTAACGAGGTAGATTTTCATTTTATGTTGTGTTTATTTGTAAACGTAAAAGTGAATTAAGGTAGAAGACGAAGAAGACTCAGAATCAAGTAGTCAACAACCACGTCATTATTTATTACGAACCAACAGACATCCTGTATCGCGGTATGGCATCGAAGACGGTATTCAGCGCTCGATGAGGTCGATTCGCCTCGATTTGCAACGACGTATCCGTAGAAATATTTCGCGTAGAGATCGCAAGAGGGACCGGAGACGGAGGTATTTATATGTTCATTATTACTGTTCTTGCATTAAAAGGAATAAATTTTAGAGGTGAACATTGGGAAGATAGCGATGACTCTTCGTCGTCATTGTCTGAATCGGCAAGTGATATCTCGATTGGAGTTGAAGAGAAACGAAGACGCTATGAACGAATATGCGAAAGGAATAGTTCAAATGATGACGATCAGGGCGGTCGTTTCGTTGCGATGAATTTTTATGGTTATATTTTAGTATTTCTTAAGAAATTATTAATAATGAGAGGTGTTATTTGGTTTATGGTTATCATAAGGATGCAGTTGAAATGGTTGTAAATATCTTGAGGTGAAGAGCATAATGGCTTGATGTGCAAGTCATCCGAATTCGATGTGATGAATGTTGATCGCACGATTACATTCGATAAAATCGGTGGTCTAGATCATCATATTCGCTCGTTGAAAGAGATGATTTTATTCCCGTTGTTTTATCCAGATGTATTCACTCAATACAACGTTAAACCACCGAAAGGAGTGCTGTTCTATGGACCACCTGGTCAATTCTCTTCATATCTTTAATTTTATGAAATGAATAATTTGAACGTAAATGAATATTATTATTTATTTGGTCGTGTGCATTTTTCAAAAAATCGTTTAAGGCACAGGCAAAACATTAATGGCGCGTGCATTAGCAAATGCATGTAGTATCGGGGCTCGAAAAGTGGCTTTTTTTATGCGGAAAGGAACGGAATGCTTCAGTAAATTCTTTGGTGAGTCTGAACGACATTTGAGGTATGTGCTTACTTATCACTTGCTTTTGTATATGTAGCTGAATGATAATAATAAAATATTTAAGACGTCTATTCAAACAAGCGTATGATTCACGACCATCGATAATATTTTTTGACGAAATCGATGGTCTTGCTCCATCACGTACAGCAAGAGAAGACCATTCGTATACGTCTGTCGTATCGACATTATTGGCTTTGATGGATGGTTTGGATTGTCGTGGAGAGGTATGATTTCTTTGATGAGCAATATTTGAAAATGGATGCTAAATGTAAGCGAGTTCAGGTGATCGTCATTGGGGCCACAAACAGATTGGACGCTATCGATCCGGCATTGAGACGACCGGGCAGATTCGATCGAGAACTCAGATTTGGGTACTTTCGTGTTACTGAATTGTGCTCTTAATAAAAGTGTTCGTTGTTGTTTTGTAGTTTACCTGACATGAATGCGCGTGTTTCGATCCTCAAAGTAGCAACTTCTTCGTGGAAAACAAAACGTCCATCAGAAAATGATCTGGAGTTGTTAGCGGAGAAGACGGTTGGCTACTGTGGTGCAGACTTGAAGGTTGTCTCATTTATTATTACTTGATATTCTCATCTATATTCATTGTGCCACGTAGAGTAATAATAATATTCGTGTAGATTTTTATTCATTTTGAGTGGATAAATTTAATTGTTTAATTTAGTCATTGTGTGTAGAAGCAGTATTCATAGCTCTTCGTCGTTGTTTTCCGCAAATTTATATATCTGATGAGAAATTAGTAATTGATCCAACGAAGGTGATTGTTACAAATGAACATTTCTTCACTGCCATGAAACGCATCGTACCAGCCGCATCTCGAGGTTTGTTTCTTCTTGAATGGATAATGAACTCGACTGAATTGTTTTTTCTGCATTCATTCTTCAAGCGTTTGATATATTGTAGGAGTTATTATAATGTTGTTAGTATTATCGTAGATTTCACGACTCCATCGCGACGTCTCGATGAGCGTAGTGTGATTGTAGTGGGATCAATATTGGATGAACTCATTGAGAATCATATTCCGATTGGTTATCGCAAACCACTTCTTATTGGTAATGAACAACCATCGGATGTGTTCAGTTCATCTCAAATTGAAAAAGTTCTTCGGGAACTTGATACACATGGTGTCATACCGTCAGGTTGTTTTAATTTAATTTCAATTTTCGTTCTTATTGTTACAGCTGTTGTTATTATTATTTTACTTTCTTATAGCTGTAGTAATAGTACGGTAATAATAATAATAATAATAATAATAATAATAAATGTAAAACTTATTCAGTTCGTATATTACTTCATGGAAAATCGAGTGACTATGGCCAAACCTCATATGTTCTACCAGCAGTGATGAATCGTTTAGATAATCTACCCGTATTCTCACTCTCGCTGGGAAGTCTTTATGCCCTTGGTAAGATTTGTGCGTTCTATTGTTGTTGTCATGCAAATAAAATCAGGTCTAAATGTAATAGTTATTGAAGGTAATCCAGAAGAAAGTCTTTCGCAGCTAGTGCAATCGGCTCTAAGAACGGCATGCACAGGAACAGCGTGCATTCTTTTGCTACCTTCATTGGATGAATGGCATCATGCTGTTTCGCTGTCTGTTTGGTATAGAGTAAGTTGTTTTCATTTGAGGGATTTATCTCAGACGAAGAGTTCATTTGCAGTTGGTTGGAGCATTAAACGGATTCGGTGCACTCACTCCGATTATGTTATTGGCCACGTCGAATAGTCATTATTCAACACTTCCGTATGATGTTAGTCATTATTATTATTATTATTATTATAAATTTTCATTGATAACTCGACAAGTTGAAAATCATGAGCACTATTTGTGCGTCTGAAAAAAAGGTTTGTGTGATAATATGATAGTTATAATTCATATGAATATTATTATTATTATTATTATTATTACTATTATTACTATTGAATAAATGGTGACAATAGGTACAAAAATTGTTTTGCGCTGAAGATGTTATCGAGATAGAAGCACCGGATAAAAGAACAGTCGAAAAATATTTTCGCTATATTATTGTTGAAAATGGGACAAAACGATCACGCAAATTCATTGGTATGTATCAGTTTTCAATGAATAATTTCACTGATAGTTATTTAATTCGTTTGTATTATTATGAATGTTGTTATTTTTTGAACTTTTAATGTGATGGTGAAACATAAATTTGGAAAGAATACTGAAAAGAATAAATGTTGATATTCTCATGTTCAGCAACTGATTATCCACGCTTGCCGACAGCACCGAAAGAGAACGAAGAGCAAGCAGCAGGAGCAGCATCATCGAAGAGTCATTCAATGAAGCTGAGAGAAGAGGATGTAAAAGAGTTGAAGAGACGTTATCACGAGTGCCGTCTCAAACTGATTGTTAAGTACGAAGAAAGTATCCGTAAGTTGTTTTGTTGCTGTTCCACTGACATAAATAATGAATTGATAATAATTGAGATCGTCTATATCGCGATCGTCGCTTCCAAGCATTTGCGCGTCCAGTAGATGCGAGAGTGGTGCCAGACTATTATGATCTAATAACGAAACCAATGGACTTATCGACAATGTATCGTAAAGTGGAACTTTATGAAACACCACAACAACTACTTGATGATTTCTATTTGATTTACTCTAATGCCCTTCATTACAATTCAGATGCGGATGATGAAGGTTTGTGTTTGTATTGTTATTAATACTGATATTTTGGTCATTTATGGTGTTTATAGGACAACATCTTCGTTTCCTGGCCAAATTATTGCTGGATATGGGCAAAGAGATTGTTTTTTCATTAGATAGAAAACTTGTTAAGTCGATGGAGGTTCGTGTTTATTATTATTATTGTCGAATTATTATTGCTGTTATTATTATTATATATTTTTATTATTATTATATTATTTCTGTTACCATTCTTCTTCAGGAAATAAAGAAATCATTAAGTAAAGCTGGTATAACAGACTGGGATAGTATTGATGATGAAAGCGGTGAATGTGAGGAAGCGATTAGCGTTGAAAATGTATTAATAAGTAATGATGACGCCGCAACTGATAATCAGCATGTTATTGCAACATCCCGATTACTTACTGCTTTGGAATGCACCGAAACAAAACAGTCTTCTTCAGCCAATCTAGATGCGGTAATAATTGACTTGATTGTCAAATTCATTGCTGCGTAATCATAATTGAAGTTTTATCATTTGCTTCTTCGTTATGATTCGCTTCATCACTGCTAAAATAACGAAAAAGCAATAGTAAATAAATTTTAGCAGCAAGAGCAACAGCAACCTGAATTGAGTCATCATACATTACGTAAAACAAATAAAAGACGTGGTGGTTCGTTGAATGCAGCACGCTTCAGAAGTCAAAAATCCAGAAAATTATTAGCAAAAAAACGCAGAAGTAGTATGGATACGAGTGCTACTTCGATTAGTGCGAATAGTGGACTGTAAGTATCCGTATTGCTTATTCAATTTACTAACGTTGTTAATGAATTTATGTTGTTGTGTTTCAAGGAATGCTCATTTGGATGCTGATAAGGTGTCATTTTTAACAACTGCTGGTGTAAGGAAAAGGAAACAAGAGGATGTAAACGAAGAATTAGAGAATGAAGATACGCGTTCATCACTCGATCACACCGATTGTCCTCTAGAAGAACGATGTTCTAATAAAGTGTCTGATATCTCTTCTTCACCTTTCGATCGTGCACATGATGTCGTTTGCACTGAAGCACTTGAAAATGTCGTTCACAAGGTTTGTTGCGATTATCAATTACATTCTTATTTTGTTGTATTTTTCTAATGTTTTAAGGTTGTCTCAAAGACGTCTGCTTGGCCGATAGTTCAACTGGAACGTTTAGGTGCTGAACTGATTCAGGTGATTAGTCAGCATCATCATAATGGACTGTCATTGAATGATGGTGACGACGGCCTGTTGGCTGATAAATTATTAATTGTTATCGATAAATATCGTTATGTGCCTTAACTTGATATCTGCATCTTTTTTCGTTTCCTTTGACACTGCCACTGTTGCATCTAGAATCAATTGTTGTTTTTTTTTTGCATCATTTAGGCACCGTATTATTATTGCGATTCTTTTATTTCAAATATCGTTAAATGATCTCGTTGAACTATGATTAATATCTTCGAGTTATTATCTTTCCAAATTTTCAATCAATCCATATATCTACCTAATTTGACTCAATGTTCTTTCCTGGTTTCAGTTTGATTCATTCTCATCGTTTGCTGATTATATGATATGCTCACGTTTTATGTGTTATTCGTGTTGTCGTTTATCTTTCGACCAGTATTATTCAGTTTGTTCCGTTAAGAATATATTCTCAATTTTCATTAATCTTCACCTATTTATATTCAGTTGTGTTCATCTCGTATGCAATGCGCTCTCTCTTTTACTTTGCATTTTTCATTTCAAGGAATAAAAATTTCTTTCTTGCTTTTCTGTTTCACATTGGTGCTGAGATGATTGATGATAGTTGCAGTGGTCATAAAAATACTTCATAATACATCTGTTTTCTTGTATGATGATCAGTTATTGAGATGAGTAAGTATAAACGCATAAATATACCAAAAATATTTGTTTCGGTGTTCCTATCAAGTTTTTTTCACTATTCTGAAGATAAAAATTTTTTCAAATATCTGCCGACATTTTGTTTGTTGCTTTTCAGTTGTTCTGAAAGGAAATAGTAACGGAAGGGAGCACAATGATAAAGTAAAATTAACATTCTTTCATGTTTTCAGGTTAAGATTGTGGCTGCCCTCCATCACTACTTCAATTGAAAAAGTGACACCAATGGGCAAAATACCGCTGATTATCAATAAGAATATTGCGGTGAATTACTTCGGTGATAAGGATTCATCTCCAACCAAATCCATCAAATATCGCTTCTTAACTCATGCACGAGGAAATGCAACATACGGCCTAACTGTATGTAATGAATTTAATGATAGCACGCAGAATTCATATTATGGGTGAACGGCCTCACACGAGCGCAGTTCCGCTAATGTGAGCGTGTGTACCCGTATTTGTCAGTTTGCACGTTGTCAGTTAGATTCAATTTGATTTGTTAAAATTCTGCTTTTCATTTCAGTGATTCGACCAATTAGAGATGTATGAATGTTGTAACATATGATGCAATTTTTAGTGCGATTGGGAAGGTGAGCAAGTCTATTGCACTTTGGAAACAGCGAAACTTTTAAAAGTGATTCTCGAGCCAACTGAACGACATCAGTTTATTGACAGCAAATGGGTGACAGCATTGGAGGTAGGTGAATGAAGTACCGTCAATTTGTTTGTCGAAGCCGGATAATGATGAAGCATTAAGTGGTGTATTTCGTATGGTTGCTTGTTAATATACTGCAGATGAATAAACGTTATAAATTGGATAAATTGTGGGTGACAGCATTGGATTCGAACCATGTACGTGGCTCAGCGATGTTCATCTTCGATGGGCCAGCACTAAAACATGCTCCAGTTCTTTGCACGGGTGATATTCGTGCTGACTTATCGTTCTACTCAAAGCCATCAAGACCACTTCCTCTGCTAAATGAGGTCAGCGATAAATATGCAGCATTAAAATATTTGCAGTGGAGTATTCTAATGCAAAAAGAATTTGCACGAACTAACTTTTTCATTTGTATCATTCAACTGCATTATCTTTCAATCAAAGAATACTTCGAATGCAGGTTATAACAAAGACTAAATTTGTTGTTTCAATAACTTATGGGGTATTGAGTTAGTTTGCGTTTAGTACAAATTTGATCGAATCTACTTGGATAGTACCTATCTATCATATCCAGACGTGTCGTTCCCATCGAGACTTCAATCGGTCAAAGCAGTTATCGAAAAGATAGCTAAAATACCCCAACAGTCGCAAATCTATTTAATCACGCAGTCCGTGGGTCGCGAGCAATTCCTTGTCGATCTGTGCACTTATCTTAAAGTGAGTTAGTTACTTATTGTTCTACGTGTGCACCTCAGCGAGAACAGCAATAGTGAATGAATGCAGTCCCTAACCTTTTCATGAATTTTTCAAAAAGCTGATTTTTTAAACTAAGCACAAATCTTATTTGCATGCAACCTAATTTCATAAGTCCTTCAATTTTTGGCAATGCTTCTCAAAATTACCTGGATTGGTCAGGCTATCAAACGTTTATAACGTTGCTGGCCACAACGCTCGCGCTTCCGTGCGCATTATTTTAGCCTCAATTTACGTCACCCCGCTGGCTAGGCGAGCAGGCCAACCGAATACAACCGAGTAAATAATTAGTCGCCGTGAACACTTTGCATAATTAATCACATAGTCAAATACCAATTCAATAAATAATCATTACTCTAATAAAATAAATATTCCGCCGACCGCAACCACTCGATGTCCAAGTAATAATTAATGAATCGCTTCTCAAAATATCCTCGATAATTTATTATTAATTCAGCAAAAAATTACTTTGCATACCAAACGTTGGGAAACAGCCAAAGCGTTGGGGTTAAGTGAGCATTTTGTTTCGGTTGATGATGTGAAGCATCGAACACGAATTCGTACTTGTTATAGAAAGTTGGTTGTTTTTAATTCTTCTCATTGTTAGTCGTGATTGACTAGTTAAAGTCACATCTATGGTTGGTATCTGTTGTTTATAATATAAAACTTATAAAATTTGGTGTGATAATACTAAGCTTAATTGTGATAATTAGCAAATACAATCTGCTCCGAATGGGCAATTGATAATCTCATTAAGTGATCATTCAGAGTATTCATATTCAGAGATGCCGAAGTATTGTTGCAATTTGATGGCACAGCTTACTTCATTGAACTGACAATGTCTGCGTCGTTTAGACATCCGGATGCAGTGCTTAGGTACATTTTGTTTCATTTTTGATCGCGAAAATTCACCGCAATTTTTAATCTTTGCGAACGAGTGTATGTTTTCTTGGAGGATTTCATCTTATTGTCTCATTGTTTATTAACGGTATATTTTCAGTTCTTTTATGAGAAGTGGTGAATGTTGTTAGTTTGTTGTCAGTGTTCAGGCATCCACGTTGCGCAGTTTCACATTATTCGGATCATTCGAATCGATTCGAAATAAATCGGCTCCTGGCACATCTTACATTCGATCGCGTACTCAGTTGCACATACGGTGAATTAGGAGAATCGATACTCAATCAGCTATCGTCAACCGTTCATAAAAATAAATCAAATCATAAAAATCAACTTAAAGTTAATCGTGAATCGTTGCAAACTGCCCGTTTCGTGTGAGTATCTTTTATTTGCATAATGGACATTTGTTTTGTTTGTTTTAAAACCTAATCAAGATTTGTTAATTATCATTCTTGGATGATGTAACATTTTAAAAGTAGTAAACTTTAAAACAACAGAATTAAGCAAATTTCTTGCCTGGCAATATATGTTTAATTTAATTATATAGAAATGATAATTGAAAGGACTAAAGTTGGTCATTTCAGTATGCAGCTAATGATACACCAGATACGTTACGGTCACACGAAAGTGTATAAAACGCAGCAAAAAGGTAGAAATGTGAGTGATAGTGAAGAGGATGAGCAACAAGAAAAAGAGAGACCAAATACGGCTGGTTTGCTGCAAACAATCGTCGACAAACTGGCTGACTGTTCGAACCAAACTGAAGAACGTGATGTGGCCATTGAAAGATTCGAGCGGGAAACGAACATCTTTAATTTATTATACGCGATGAATCCACAACAGTTAGCACGACATCTGAGGGGTTTACGTAGGTATCGAGCAATCCACAACAAAGGTTGGTCGTTTTGTTATTGTTATTGATGGTAGCATTGTTACAGTTAAATGAAACATTTTTGCAGAACGTAATCCAGAAAGAATGGTTGCATTGGATGATGAAGAAGACGATTTCTTGGACTATGCGTGTGAAGATGACAAACTGGCAGCTGCGCTGAAAATGCTGAAAAGATCGATTGAACATGAGCTACAATCAGAAATTCAGCGAATCAAATGACCCAATATTTTCCGTGCTCTGTAAATTTTGTATGTAATCGTTCATTTCTCAAATTATTGTAATTATTACTATTACATAAAATTGAATAAACTCAGGTTACCTTTCACTCAATTTCTCCACTTGCATTCACACTAATTATTCACACTAATTAATTATTACTTGGACATCGAGTGGTTGTTTCGTCAATCGCAGTGAGCGATCGGCGGAATATTTATTTTATTAGAGTGATGATTATTTATTGAATTGGTATTTGACTGCGTTTAATTATGCAAAGTATTCACAGCAACTAAATAGTTGTGTTCGGTTGGCCTGCTCGCCTAGCCAGCGGGGTGACGTAAATTGATGCTAAAATAATGCGCACGGAAACGCGAGCATTGTGGCCAGCAACGCTATAAACGTTTGATAGCCTGACCAATCCAGGTACATTCACACTAAGCTTCTAAGTAATTGCTCAACTCTTAACGTTTTTTTAACATAATAATCTTTTTATTGATTCATTTTGCTTGTTTCATTCATGTTCTGTTTCGTTCTGTCATCATGATACTCACTTTCAACTGTTTTCATACTAACATAATCTTTTTTGAAATCCAGAGAAGATTTTTTAAAAATTTTGTGGTAGGAACAGCTGTTGAAGTGAGGAACGATAATAAGGTATGTGAGGAACCATTGAGCTATTAAAAATTTTGACATATAGTGCAAGAAAGAACATTTAATATTTTAAGTGAATTTGGCATTTTAAATTTGTTGTACGCAAACTGTAGAACTTAGTCAACGAGCCAAATGGATAGAGTTACATTCAATTTTATATCTGTAAGGTGATTGACAGATTCACTGAAAATGATTATACTGACCATTTGATGATGCAGATTTACAGATTGAAAAAATTTTTTTCTCTCGTGGCATACGCCAATTAATGAAATATTGCATCTGCTATTGATAATTTGATTTTATATGAGAGATATTTCAATTTGCATTGTTGTATTGTTTATAATGGTGGTTGTGTTGAGTGGTTGATTTTGTTGTATTGTATCCCATATTATCTCGTGTTGTTTATAATGGTGGTTATGTTGACTTTTTTGTATTATCTCGGATTGGTTGGATTTTAATATTAATAGGGTATTTGATATGATGGTAGATCGATGGGTTTCGTATTTATGCCGGTTGGGATTTTTATCTTGCCGGGGATTGATTTGTATGTGGTATTATAGTAGTGAGCAAGAGTCCTAAATACTTACAATAGTTAGAAATGTGTGAAAGAAAAAGATTGAATTGAAAATCCGTACTTAACTGCGAATTAAAATCTTGAAAAATTATGGAAGTGTATGTATTAGAAGAAATAGCAAGTTTACAAGTTGATTGAGAGATGTTTTGCGGAATGATTATTCTATCAAAGAGTAGAGAATGAAGACATTTATTCCGTGCACGGCTTCTTTCACTCAAATTCTCATCTTACAGTTTCCCTTTTATGGGATTATTACATGCGCTCATGCTCCGGTTACGGTGGCTGCTGACTGATGATAGTTGCGTGAACATAGTTTTTTCACTCAACCTTTACTGGTTACTAGTTTTGAACTTAATGTCCTTATTTTTATATCATCAATAGATACAATGAATATCGTAACTTATTAATCACAAGTTGTTAATCCTTTTTCAGCGCAATAGATTATATGACTTTAAGAAATATCCATATTAACTACATAAAGATGCACGTGGTTACTTTATGATATGATTTTAGATACGGTGCTTTATACGTATCACATCCACACGGGGTTGGTAACAGAAGCCAAATTGCACTTTTGAAGCGACGCGG